CTCTCTCATCTTTTTAAGTGGGAGAACTTGCACAATTGGTGGCTGACTAAATACTTTTTTGCCCCACTGTATAATATTGGCAAAAGTTCTCATTAACAGGCAATTCTCAACTGGGTTCACGTATCACATTAAGCCACAATGTGATTTTGGTATAGTGTATTGTGTGAACTCAGCCACTGGGTTTGTTAATCATGGTTCATGGTTTAGTGTGTTCTATCAGGCTTCATCATATCCTGGTTAAAGTTATGCATGTATATCCTCAAAGCAGATTGTCTGTCTGGATTTTGGACATGGGGGCTTGGCAGAATAGCATAATATATTTGATTGCAACAAAATAGTCATCTGTTAGTATGGTTTCAACCATGCAGAGGATCAGGAAACAGTGTTTAGTTTATTTCTCCAAGTCAGTTGAGTTCAGAGGTCTGGCTGTGATGACACCCTTGCCCTCACTGAGAACACTGTTCAATAATGAGAACCTTGCTACGGACTCAGAAGAGCTGAGCTGGACCTTCATAAACAACACATTTTTGATTTTGCATATATGACACTTAATGAAGGTGTTCTATGTTTATTGCAGCTTATTGCGTTCAGCTCTTGTTGCTGCCGATACCTGATATTTACTTGCTTTTTTCCCAAGGTTCTCCGTGGAGGAGCCAGCCAGCGCCCTTTGACCCCAAATCAGAACCAACAGGGCCAGCAGACTGATCCTTTAGTGGCCGCAGCAGCAGTGAATTCAGCCCTTGCTTTTGGGCAGGGGCTGGCAGCAGGAATGCCGGGTAGGAGCTTATGATTTCCATAAGAGCCGAGGTGGAAACAGGGGATTTGGTTTGGAGTAACACAAAATACAGTGTTGCAAAGGCAATTCCCTCTAACTGTCTGACCTGTCTTCATAGGTTATCCGGTCCTGGCTCCCGCTGCCTATTACGACCAAACAGGTGCTCTTGTGGTGAATACAGGGGCAAGGAATGGCCTTGGAGCTCCAGTACGACTGGTAGCTCCTGCTCCTGTCATCATCAGTTCCTCCGCTGCACAAGCAGGCAAGTCTTACTCAGATATGCTCTGGGGAGAACAGCGATTCGATGCATAGTCATTCTTAGCAGCTTTATGAAACCGTTAGATATAGCAGGCATCAGAATCTGGATGGAACACTGACAGTCGTATAGGACTTAAAATCCATAGAAAACATGAAACATTACATTTTTAAATAGGAAAAAGACATATCCTGTCTAGCATATCTGTGAGCAAGAAGGTGCAGTACCCATGCAGCAAACTGAGCCTGAGCGTTCTCCCCTGCTTATTCTCCCATGCCCACTGAACTAGCATTTAGTTTCTGTGCATGTGATTCTGAGGTCATAACACACAAAGCAGGAATTCTGGTTTAAGTGTTGAATGTGCCATCTTCCAACCCTGAATTGGCTGTATTCACACATTATGCTTAGCTAGGGCTTTTTAACTGAGTAATTCTTGAATATCCCACAGTGACTAGATTTGCACACAATGCTAAGATATCAGGGGGCACGTTTGCAAATCGTGTTACGCTGATCCTTCCCACTGTGGCTTAATATTACATATCAACCAGGCCATTGCTTTGTGCTTTGCTTTAGCAAGCTAGAGTTTGTTTTAAGCCGTGATACCTGGTTTACATGTCAGTAGATTCTAAAGTGCCACACTGGGAATAGTTCTTAGGCATTAGTTG